ATTAACACACCCTAAAAGAACAGATGTAAGGTTTACGATTAAGAGATACGTTTTCGTGAGGACACTTTATAATCTGTTTTTCTAATGCTTTTCTAATGTACTTTTTATTAAAGTCAAAAATTATGAGTTGCTGTATTCGTTTCAATATTAATAGTAATAATATTCAGTTGATAATGTTTCGTAATCGAGATAGGGTGGCATCCACTTGCCATCGGGTGGACTGCGTGATCGTTTGTCCCCCTGGTTATATATACAAAACGGCAATGATGTTTACGATGTGATGGATGGATGGGTGAGGATATTGATGATTTCTACGACATTGATGACGATAAGGGCGAATAATAACCCTGACCCTCGGCCGTTTGGTCTCCCCTGCCGAGGGCCTCCATCTGGTTGGGCTTTTATTTATTTATGTACTTTTATATTTATTTTATGTTATTGATATTTATGTATATTTATTTTTTCATTTTCATTTATAATTATATATTTATAGAACCCAACCAGATGAGAAAACTATATAGATACCCCATAATAATAATAATAATAACAATAATAAGCCACTTACAAGTCTAACCCCACGTCCGAGCTTAACACCTACGCTCACGTGAGTGGCGGACACCCGCAACGAAGGTACTTTGTGAGTGACCAACGGGGCTCTAGCACACCCATCAATATGGAGTTGCGAAATAGAAGTATTAGTAAAGGACCGCTTCCCGAGGGCAATCGTCGGGGCACGCCTGGAGCCGGTGCTAGGCGTTTCAGTATGCGAACCACCGGTGGCGAGGGTTTACCTGGACGGCCCTCTGCCGGTCTGATGAATATAAGTGCGATAGTAAAGCAGTCTCTCCGGCCTCGGATGTTTCACGGGCGGCAAGGGCCACTCAACCTGTGACCACCAAAGCTGGCAAACCTAGAGTGCGCATGAAATGGGATGAAGAAATAAATGCTTTCATTATGCGCACTTACTTTTACATTACCAAATTAGAAACCGATCGCACTATGTACGTTAAGAAATTATTTGATCAATTTCAATTAAAATATCCTCATATAAATGTCACATCTCAACGTATTGCAGACCAGAGACGAGTAATAATAAGAAATAAATTGTTATCTGATGAACAAATCAAAAGTATAAAGCAACAAGCAGCTAAAATAATTGAAAACGAGAAAGCTGAGAATAATATTTCGGACTCACGTTCAGATACAAGAGACACCAATCATATGACGGCGGGTAATTCAAATCTCGACCTTTTTAGCCGTCGTCAGTCATCTCCGCCCTCTTCCTTATTCGAAACTCAATCAATTACTTTAACATCCGATTCTGCAACACAAACTCTATCAATGAGCTGCACGGCTCAAACTAGTATTTTAAGTGTTTCACACCCAGCTGAAATAAATCTCCCAGATGATGGTTTAGTACAGAAATTATCCAACGAACTGAAGACTAATCTAGCATTGTATACTGGTACGGACATAAGACCCAAACTGCCGCGATTGAAAGAAAATAAGCAGCTATATAGTTCAAATTCTATAGTATTGATTCTGAGATACTACATATTCATACCCTCATATATTGTTCAGCTTTAGTTATCTCAAAACTATTAGGATATAAAATTTCAAACGACCCCTTAAAAAAGCGAAATTCATTTAACAATAAACCGGCTTGGCAAATAAGATTAGAAATAGATATATCTATCCTGCGCGCTGATGTGGCTAGATTAACACAATTTATTAACAATAATAGACATCCTCGATTAGTTAAGAAAATTGATTTAATATTTGATAAATATAAAGTTCATTCAACTTATGATAAAAATAATATTAGACCAGCTGAATTTTTAGACACTCTAAAACAAAAACTTGCACTTAAAACCCAAAGACTAGCCAGATACAAAAAAGCCCTACAGAGAAAAGAAGACAATAGGCTTTTTCAGACTAATGAAAAAGGATTTTATAGGATGCTCAAACATAATATAAGTAATGTATCCAATGAACCCAAGGAAGTACCAACTGAAGAAGAACTTAAAAACTACTGGACTGAAATATGGAAGAAAAATAATGAACATAATGAGCAGGCAAGTTGGATCAATGAAGAAGAAAATAAAGCAGAAGCTATTGAATTGATGGAATTCACAGAAGTTACTAAATTAGATATTGAACATGTAACCAAAAAAATGAAAAACTGGAAAGCTACTGGACCCGATAATGTTCACAACTTTTGGTATAAAAAATTCTCGGCCCTCCACGATATTTTAGCGAAAATTATTACAGATATATTAAAAGGCGCATCAGAGATCCCATCATTTGTAACCGTAGGTACTACTTTCATGATTCCCAAAAGTGATAAAACAGCAGATCCCTCACAGTACCGACCGATTACGTGTATCCCAACTATATATAAACTAATAACCTCTTGTATACCACTAAAAATAAATACGCATTTAACACATAATAAAGTATTAGAGGAGGAACAAAAAGGATGCAGACAGAATCACAGAGGATGCAAAAAACAACTCATTATCGACTCGATAGTAATTAAACACGCTACCTCTCACAACCGTAATCTTAACCTAACATATATTGATTATAAGAAAGCATTCGACAGTGTACCTCACTCTTGGCTGATACGAGTTTTACAAATTTATAAAATCTACCCGGACATTATTTCTTTCCTGGAGAGAGTTATGGGTACTTGGAAAACTAAATTACACCTTAATGATGGCAGTAAGACCATAGTCACAGACGATATACCAATCGCTAATGGCATTTTCCAGGGAGATTCATTGAGTCCACTGTGGTTTTGTCTGGCTCTTAACCCTTTATCTTCTTTACTCAACAAAAACAATCATGGATATAAATTAACTAAAGACACCTATGTTAATCATTTAATGTATATGGACGATATAAAACTTTTTGCCAAATCAGAAAAAGAAATGAACGCCCTCATAAAAATTACAGCTGAGTTTAGTAAAGATATAAACATGACCTTTGGTTTTAATAAATGTAAAACGCTTAAACTTCATAAAGGTAGAGTCAATAGTAGTAAAGAAAGTCAATACGACATGTTTACATTGATGGACGAAAATGATACATATAAATATCTAGGCTTGCGTGAAGGAAGATGTATAGACCATACTGCTATTAAAAAGGACCTTAGTAATGAATATTTACGTAGGTTGAATCTAGTTTGTAAAAAGCAACTTAATTCTAGAAATTTATTCAAAGCTATTAACACTTTTGCCATCCCAATACTTACCTATTCTTTCGGAGTAATTAAATGGTCAACTACAGATATACGAAATCTTGAAATCAAAACTAGGACTACCATAACTAAACACAAATATTTGCATCCTAAATCGGCAATTGAACGACTTACGATAAAAAGAGCTATAGGAGGCAGGAGTCTAATCGATCTTAAAAGGTTATGGGAAGGGCAAGTCAAAAACCTGCAATCTTTCTTTTATGAAAAATCAGCTAATAGTCCGTTACATCAAGCAGTCATTGAATCCGATAACAATTATACCCCTCTAAATCTAAGTAATCAAGGTAATAGATCTACTACAGTAATTGATCATGAAAAAGGAAAGCTCTCAAAGTGGCGTAGTAAAGAATTACATGGTAGACATGCACACGATTTAGAACAACCTCACATAGACTTGCTGGATTCAAATAAATGGTTAAAAATAGGTTCTCTTTTTCCCCGAAACCGAAGGTTTTCTTATTGCCATTCAGGATCAAGTAATCAATACAAGAAACTATAAAAAATACATATTAAAAGACCCAAACATTCAGAACGATAGTTGTAGAAAATGCCACCGCCAACCCGAAACTATACAACATATTACCGGTGCTTGTCCCAGCCTAGTACAAACTGATTACACCCACCGTCATAACCAGGTTGCTAATTACGTTCATCAAAAACTTGCAAATAAACACAATTTAATCCCGAACCAAAAACAACTGCCGTACTATCAGTATACCCTGTTCTGGAGAGCGACAGTCACAGAATGTACTTTGATAGAGCTATTCTTACCGATAAAACAATTCATTACAATAGACCGGATATAACTTTAATTGATAAATCAAATAAAACAGTATATCTAATTGATATAGCGATCCCAAATACCCATAATATACAAAAAACCATTACTGAAAAAATCATAAATACACAGAATTAAAAGAAGAAGTAACCAGAATCTGGAAAATGAACAAAGTATATATTGTACCGCTGGTTCTCTCCAGTACTGGTGTGATCCCGAAATGTTTGTCTCCCTTAAACGATTAGATCTTCCTGAAAATAGTTATATTACCATGCAAAAAGCAGCCATCCTCAACACGTGCCGTATAGTCCGAAAATTTTTGCAAGAAGACATCTCGGATTTTGATTCCCAAATGGATGCGCACTTGGCTTAGGCCCGTGAACATCTCTTAAAAACCAAGATTTTACAAAATCTTGAGAAAGAAAAAATATAATAATAACAATAAAAATAAATAGGCGTAGGGAATTGACGACCCCATCGCCCGCTGACGTAACAGTTAAGTGACAAAACTGCTACGTCAACGCAGTCAGTCAGCGCCTTGCGAGAGGTGTGAGCGCCGTGCCGCAGCAGAATTTAGGGCGCAGAGGCCCGTTTGTGCTTATGGCTACAGACGAAACGGTGCCGGGCCTGGGCGTCTCCCGTTAATGGACGCCCAAATAATGGATGATGGATAAAAAGATAGTGTGCAAAGGGCCGCTGCCTGGGGGGTCGCCGGGGCGCGTCTGGAGCTGGCGCTGGACGCGGCAGCATGCGGGCCGCCAGCCGAGCGCGAGGAGTTGCACGGTCACCTACCAGCCCTCCGCATCCATCATCCCCACCAGAAGGCTTGGTGTCGGCTGGGTCTTCTCGGACTCAGCAAGCGGCACCCGCCGCTGGTGGAGCACGTCGCATGCGTTGGTCACAAGAAATGAATGCAAACGCACTGCGGGCGTACTTTGGGGCAAAAGGGGAAGAAACTGGATGTTTGGCGTATCAGAGCCATCTTTAATCGTCACAGAGCAAAACCTGGCAGAACGAGTTCGGTATATCTTGCGCTCAAATATATTTGATGTCGCCGAACTCGAACGGCTACGACGTGAGGTTGTTCCCTCGTCGGATGAGAATGCTACGGCTGAGGATGCGGCGCCACAAATGGTAGAGCAACCCGCAAACGTGGATGCCGCCGTGAATACCCCAGTTGTGGTTGATTCAAACGATGATGGAACAGTCGCCCAGGAACTGGAATTAGAGCATATGAGGAGTATATTGGAAGAGGCGATTGTGGAAACGCGCAGTACGCCTCTCGAAAATCGACCGCGACTTCCCCGCATAGCCCTAAGCAAGCGGAATCGGGCTGTCGTGAGGGCTCTGAACCCAATGCTGGTTACCTATTTGGAAGCCAGCCGAGACCTTTGCGAGACGGACTCAATTCTTTTTGGCGCCGCGCTGGCAGTCTGCCGTATCATAGGCGCCAAGGTTTCCACGGCTGGACGCGCTACTGGCCATAGTAGCGCTATCCCAGCATGGAGAAGAAGAATTGAGGAACGTATCGCAACGGCTAGAGCTCTCATCGGCAGCCTGATATGCTTCAGATCAGGCAACAACAGGCCAAGAATTGTGCGCACCGTCAGGATGGCGTAGCACCGAATCAGGCCGACACTGTAGAATTCTGGCGCGGCCTGTGGTCAGAGCCCGTAAACCACAGCGAGGGCCCTTGGACGGAAGTTGTGTCGAGTCTGTGTGCAAGTGTTACGCTCACGGACCCCGTCATCATAACGCCGGATGACGTAGCTGAGGCGGTCCGTAGGGCCCCGAACTGGAAAAGTCCGGGGCTTGACGGGCTGCATCACTACTGGCTGAAGGGGTTCATGGTGTGTCACTCTGTGCTCGCCCGACAGTTTCAAGAGGCTCTCAACCAGAAGTCGCTCCCAAGCCTCTTCACTACTGGGATCACTCATTTGGTTCCTAAAGACCAGGGTACCACAGACCCGAGCAAATACCGCCCCATCACGTGTCTACCGACCATATACAAGACACTAACATCCATTTTGAGCGCGATAATCACTTGTCACCTGGACTCAAATCAGGTTATGTCGCGCGCTCAAAATGGATGTCAGGGCGGTGGTCGTGGAACCAAGGAACCACTCCTCATTGACGCGGTCATTGGCAAAGTGGTGAAACGCAACCGTCGGAACTTCTCCGCCGCCTGGATAGATTACAATCGACTCGGATAAAGACATTCGACTCGGTGCCCCATACAGGGCTAAAGAGAGTCCTCGAGCTGTACAAGATAGACTGTACAGTTAGAGACTTCCTCGAGCAGTGTATGGGGCAGTGGAGTACGATCCTTTGTCATCTGGGCGAGCGGATGATGGCTGCGGAGAACCACATAAGGATAAGAAGGGGTATCTTCCAGGGTGATTGTCTGAGTCCAATCTGGTTCTGCCTCTCTCTGAACCCTCTCAGTACCTTACTGGAGGGCTCCGGGAGGGGATTTCAGCTACGGAAAGGAGGGACAAAAGTGACCCACCTTTTCTATATGGATGACCTCAAGTTATACCTTTGGCATACTCAGGTGGACTCAGACTGAACTTAACGCCCTGGATAGAAAAGTGCGCACTACAATGACGTCCCATAGGATGCATCATCCGAGATCGTCGGTAATGAGGCTGTACTTGCCGCGGAAGCATGGTGGTCGTGGCTTCTTGAGCGCGCTCACCATGCATAATCGCTAAGTGTGCAGCCTCCGTGATTACTTCCTGGCGAGATCGGATGATCCATTCTATAAGGACGTCATTTCTTGTGATAAAGGACTTACCCCTCTATCCTTAGCCAACGAGCAATGGCAAGACCCGGCAGTGCAGAGCATTTCCGACCGGGAGACCGTATGGAAGGAGAAGGAGCTCCACGGGAGGTTCTACAAGGCTCTACATGAGCCTTTCGTAGACACAGTAGCCTCCCTCCACTGGCTACGCTTTGGTGATCTCTTCGGGGGAAACCGAGGGTTTTGTCTGTGCAATACAGGATCAGGTTATTAAGACCAACAACTATCGGAGATACATCCTAAAGGATGGCACCGTCGACATCTGTCGAGCTTGTCGCCATCCCGGTGAGTCACTTAGGCATGTTATCTCCGGTTGTTCGGCGCTTTCTAACTCTGAGTACTTGCACAGGCACAACCTAGTAGCCAGAATTCTACACCAGGAGCTCGCTCTGAAATACGGTCTCGTGGATCGGAAATTGCCGTATTACAAGTAATTGCCGGAAGCCGTGCTCGAAAATGATTGCGCCAGGCTCTATTGGGACCGGGCCATCATCACAGACAGGACTATTCTTGCGATTAAGCCTGATATTGTGCTGATGGACCGGGCACAGTCAAGGATATTTTTGGTCGACATTACCATTCCGTATGACGAGAACCTCGTGAAAGCCGAAACAGACAAGCAAACAAAATATCTGGACCTGGCTCACGAGGTGACCGACATGTGGGGTGGTCTGCCGACCGAAATTATTCCTGTAGTCGTCTCTGCAAACGGGCTAATCCCAGTCAGCCTCTCGGGTCATCTGAGGCGGCTGGGACTACGTAGCGGACCGCTCCAGGTTCAAATGCAGAAGGCGGTGCTCCTCGATACCGTCCGCATCTTCCGCCGGTTTCTTTCCCTTTCCCCCTAACCCTCGGCCGTCTGGTCTCCCCTGCCGAGGGCTCCTATCTGATTGGATCTTATTTATTTATGCAGTTTTTGTATTTATTTTATTTTATTGATATTTATGTACATTTATTTTTTCATTTTAATTTATAATTATATATTTATAGAACCCAACCAGGTGAGAAAATTATATAGATACCCCAATAATAATAATAATAATAGATCGCTGCTTGGGGGAAGCGGATTCGACGATTTTCCGAGGGGTCAAGGCGGTTCAACCAGAATAGTCTCTTCCAGAGTGATCAGAAGAGGCTCTATAAATCATTGGAGCGACCAAAGGTATGTGGAGCGGGCCAAGGACCGGATCAGGCTGACATTATCGCATTCTGGCGTGGCCTGTGGTCAGAGCCCGTAAACCACAGCGAGGGCCCTTGGATGGAAATTGTGGCGAGCCAGGGTGCGAATGTTACGCCTATGGACCCCATCACTATAACGCCAGAAGACGTGGCTGCGGCGGTCCGTAGGGCCCCGAACTGGAAAAGTCCGGGGCTCGACGGGCTGCATCATTACTGGCTGAAGGGGTTCATAGTGTGTCACGCTGTGCTCGCCCGACAGTTTCAAGAGGCTCTCGACCAGAAGTCACTCCCGTGCTTCTTCACTACTGGGATTACTCACTTGGTTCCTAAAGATCAGGATACCACAGACCCGAGCAAATACGGCCCCATCACGTGTCTACCCACCATATATAAGACACTGACATCCATTTTGAGCGTGAGAATCACTCGTCACCTGGAGCTAAACCAGGTGATGTCACGCGCTCAAAATGGATGTCGGGACGGTGGTCGTGGAACTAAGGAACCACTCTCATTGACTTAGGAAAGTGTTTGTATAAAACTGAGAATATTTCTTCGAACTATAAGCATCATTAAAAAGAGGCTTCTATTTCATATAAGGTTGCTTCTTTTATATTTATTTATTTCCCACTATACAATTATCTTTACAGGTTTATCACCTAATGCGTTAATGTAGACAACTATTTTTACCAACTCCAACTACACCGTAACAAGCTAATAATTTTCGATTATAAATATGCACTTATTGCTATTTCAAACACGTATCTGATATAACACGTATATAATATAATATACTAAAATGACGAATGTGTATCGTTTAACAAATAGTTCCTCCATACCATAACCATTACAGCTGATTAAACCAAACTGCTAAACGTAGGCCGTCGATATTTGCCATATATGTCACGATTGGCAAGCAGGTTGGCAACCGCAGTTTTTTATTTTAGTCATTAGGAAGACGCTGCTGCCCATATCCCGATTTGTTTCCCTCTGTTGCCTATTACGGCGTCCACGGGACGATATGGGCTAGTGGATTACATCGCCACTAAATTTAACGTAAAATATATTAGAGATGACACTACACAAATAATTAAATATTGTAATGTGCGACGTGTACACAACTGTTACATTTTAGAATCAAAAGTTGCAATAGCAACAGATTGCAAAATACGTATCAGAATGTCACAAAATTCAGATAAACAATAAATGGAAAAAATATTAAACTATTGTTACGCGCTCAAGTCGACGGCACTAGCGCCATCTAGTCTCGAACCGAAGAACTAAACTTCTTGATTTGAAACACGATCTCTCGGTAGCTTGCGCGTATTTCCTTGAATATTCTGGATATTTCGCTGCTAATTTATATAAATAGGCGCTGCAAGATGCGATCGAGGAAGTATTGGATTTGGCGAGACAAGCGAAGCTTCGGAGCGGAATAAAGTGAATTAGTGTATTTAATTATTAGTGTTTTAAGTTTTAATTTGTGTAAAGTAAATTAAAGTGTTGATTTAGGTAATTTTATCGGCAATTTTTATTGTCACGAACCTCAAGCTCGTAACACTATTATATAACTTGATAAGTTTTTTTATGTAAAGTGATTTTGGGTTCTATAAATAAACTTAATACTTATAAATAACTTAATAAATAATAAGTTTTGTTAAATCTGTAGAGTTATGGCATGGGTATTTTTATGATTTAGTTTTATAATATTGATTAAGACGCGTTTGACACCATACATGTTTATATTATATGTAGCACTCCTAAATCTCAAATAAGCTTTTTTACCATAGCTAGTAGGAAACTATAACGGAAGCGTAGAGTTAAGCATTTTCAAAAAAGATTAGGATAATTATGAAGTATATTTCCTTTACTTTGGATAATAAATAAAAATATATATAAATCATTGTCATGTCATCGCTCACTAGGACTCAAAGCTGGGCGTGGTTTTCTTAAATAATGGGAAGGATCTGTCTTACACAATATGCTTTGGAGACGCTTATCTGACGTCTCAAACATTTGATAATGCTCTCTATTGCCATTATAAGTACTTTACATCTACGAATCCGTATAAAGGATAAATTAAATAATGAATTTTTATCATTCGGATTTAAATTTTTAAACAAATTATAATATATCTTTGCAAATTAATAAAAGTAAAAGTAAAAGTAAAGTAAAGTTACAGCCTAGATACGTCCCACTGCTGGGCACAAGCCTGATATCATTTCTGAGAGGATTTTAGGCCTAGGAAATATCCTTACCTAGACGTGCATGTATGAAGAAGTTAATGAACCTGAAAGAAGCGAAAGAGGTATGTAAGGATCGTGACACTTGGCGATCTGTTCTCTCTGGCTACCCCGTTAGGGATAGTGCGTGAAGATAAGTAAAGTAAAGTAAAGAAACGCGGTGCAAAGTGTTGGTAAACTTCACACGTCTTCGAAATATTATTTTGCTTATTTCTAGGTCGTGCAGATTTCCTCACAATGTTTTCCTTCACCGCCGAGCACCTGATAAATCAGCACTTAAAATTGCAATTAACAATTTTATTTTGTACCAGCGGGTATCGAATCCGGGTAGTTCGAGATCTGTGAAATTCACAGCGAGCGCTTAATACATGAGCTACCACGGCTACACGGCAGAAATT